AAGTGAAGTCATTTAAATAAAAGTAGAGTAATTTTCCTAATTTTCTAAATTCAAATCAACATAAATTAAGTAAATCATAAAATTTAAATCATACTAAATCATTTTATTTTATGTTAAGGTTAGGTTAAACCCTTTGAATAATGATGCTGGATTAGGATTAGAATTTGTTATAGTAGAAATAAAGAACCAACTACTTAAAAACATATTGAATATAATGAAGTAATGAAATTATAATGAATCGCGTCTAAATATTTCCGTGGGGTTTCCAGAGACAAGCTAACGTAAAATGGGTTGCCCAATGATAATGGTGCAACAAGGTAGGGCGGGTAAAGAGGAGATCTATAACACCTGAGTTCTCCAAGCTAAGATCCTCATTCTCTCTCTCTCCCCCACCACTTTGGCCACTCCCTTCCCTTAAGCACTGTCGATTTCTTTTATTTGGTAACCCTGATTTGGGGAAGCACAAGAACCCTCCCTCTGGCCCTGAGCTAGGCCGGCAACAGACAGTGCGTGCTCCCGATCAGAACCAGGACGTTACAAATTTGTGTTAACTACTAAATCTTAAATAAAGTTTGATTACAAAGTTTAAAAGTAAAAAGGGGCAAATTAAAAAATAATGTTTCGGTAGCTTACATTGAGATAGATTTATAGTTATATAGATTAATTATTCATACGCTTTCTTTTATAAGGGCATGGTTAGGCAATCAAGACTATATGGGCACTCACGAACCAATCCCTCGACGTCCGCAGGCCTGAAGACTGGAGCGGTGTATGGCTTGATGAATGAGGGTAAAAGCCAAACTAAAACATGAAAGAAAAGCTAGCTTCGGGCGAAGCCGATATAAAACCCTATCAAGGGGTATATCAAACCCTTGCAGCTAAGACCGGATATATATTGCAAACATCGGATATAGTTGGCCGATCCTTATGAGAATATCATAATAAAACCAATAAATTACAATAAAATATCTATAAAAAAATCCCAAGCTTCTATCTTCAAAAATACCAAAGTTGGTATTCCTACCAAAAACCATTTCCGATCGTTCATTTATATGGTAGCTATAGGATATAGTCGACCGATCCTTATGAAATTTGGTAGGTCGGATAAACTGACCAAAAATATAATCTGTACTAAGTTCCAGCTTTCTATCTTCAAAAACACGAAGAAAATATTGGCTCTACACAAATATTTTAATATATGGTATCTTGCAAATGAGTGGGGTTTTTTTTTCAAAAAATACTGTCTTTTTTTTTAATGTGACGTCAATGAGCATTGAACTACGGAACTGAGCGGACGTGCTTTGCCCGAGCTCCGGGAAAACTGCAACATAAAACAGTTAACCAAGCAAAAAAAAAATGGGGAAACCCAATAAAAGCGAAAAGAAACTGACCCACAATTTATTAAAAGCAATAGACAGCTTTTTATGACAGTTGTGATGTGCTAAACCAAAACCAGTGAATTATTTTAAATATATAAGTGCCACGTAATGAGCTCATTGAGCAACGATCAAAAGAACGAGCGTAGAAATTCAGTTAACCTAAGAAACCGAATTTAATCTTACTTTTCAACCCGCGATACCGAAATTAATAAATTCGCGTTTAGGAGCAAGCCGGCTCTACTGACCACTGAAACCCAAAGGGCACGGTCTTGCTTACCCGCTCTGCTCACTCCGACTCCAGCGACATGGAGTTCGCAGTGTTAAACCCCCTCCAATATCGGAAACAAATTTTGCACCAACAACAAGCTGTGCTACAATTTCTGCAACCACAGCGACAACCCCTGCAATTTAAAGTACCGCGACGTCAACGACTACAGCGGATGCCAAAGCGGCCCCGGCCATACAGACTGGAATCGATCGCTACATCCAAATTAAGCGCAAGCTTAGCCCGCAGAGTAATCCGGCAGGCAATAAAACAAAAAATAACCGCATCCAGAAGATCGACGAAGAACCAGGCAGATCCAGTAGTAACGGATACGAATATCAATTTGGAACGCCAATGGTGTCTTATGGAATTGTCACAATTCTTGACCGAAAACCATATTGACATTATGCTACTGTTGGAACAGCATCTTACAAGCAAATAAAACTTTCTAATAAGAGGCTAAACAATCTACCGCACAAATCATCCAGATGGGAAGCCCACGGCGGAACTGGAGTTCTAATCAGAGAACGCATTAAACACCATTTTCACAAAAGGTTTGCAGAAAACTTCTTGCAGGCCACATCGATACAAATTCAGTCAAGTAACGGAATCCTTTCAATCGCTGCCGTTCACTGCCCTTCTTGTTTCTTAATCTCGGAAGGCCAATTTATGGACCTCTTTAATTCACTTGGACCTCCAAACATTTATAAATGTGAAAAATAAACTGGACTTTGTTTCCCCTGGAAGTCCCACATGCTGAATAACCGACCCACGCAAAATTTCTCTACTCCTCACGGGAAGGAAGTAGACCGAAACAAATGCTACAAATCTAATCAGCAAATCGAACAGCTCGTGCGAGAAAAGAGGAGCGCGCGTCGCGATTGGCAAAACAGCAGATCAACAGTTTTAAAGCAACATATTAAGGAAGCAGCCCGATCACTCGACCAGGCTCACCAACAGAAAAAAAATGCACAGCTGAGGTACATCCAGAATCTTTTGCCAACAAATACAAAATACCCCATCTGGAGGGCCCACCCAAATCTTAGCGCCCCAACAAGAAACTCTTCGGGATGCCGGGCTCGCAGCGACGAAGACCGAGCTGAAACATTCGCTGCACATCTACAAAGTGTCTTCAAGCCAAAGCCAGCCTCAAATTCAGCGAAATAAAAATCTGAACACCTTATTTGCGAGATATATTTAAAAATATTTGTTGGGGCATAGACTTTTGATTATCAATTAGAAGTTATTATACCCTTGCAGAGGGTATTATAATTTTGTCCGAAAGTGTGCAACGCAGTGAAGGAGACATCTCCGACCCTATAAAGTATATATATTCGTGATCAGGATTACCTCCTGAGTTGATATGGGCATGTCCGTCTGTCTGTCCGTCTGTCTGTCTGTTTCTACGTGAACTTGTCTCTCAGTTTTATAGCTATAGTCTTGAAACTTTGCACACACGCTTCTTTCCTTTGCACGCAGTATATAAGTGGGAACGCCCGGGATCGGCCGACTATATCTTATAGCTGCCATATAACTGAACGATCGGAAGTGACCCAACTTTTGTGTTTTTGAAGATTTTTGGACAGGTAATCCGACCTACCAAATTTTATAACGATCGGCTGACTATATCTTATAGCTGCCATATAACTGAACGATCGGAAATGGTATAAATTTGGTGCTTTTAAAGTTAGAGAGTTCAAATTTTACACGAAAGATATTTTTGGCAATACGACATGCCAAATTTCATAGGGATCGGCCTACCATATCTTATAGCTGCCATATAACTGAGCGATCGAAAATGACCCAACTTTCGTGTATTTGAAGATAGAAAGCTGAAACATAATACAGATTCTATTTTTGGTCAGTTGATCCAACCTACAGAATTTCATTAGGATCGGTCGACTATATTCTATAGCTGCCATATAACTGAACGATCGGAAATGGTTTTTGGTAGAAAAATCAATTTTCGTAATTTTGAAGATACTTTTTTTTTAGATTATTTTTATTTTAATAAATTGATTTTATTATGATGTAATTCTAAGGATCGGCCAACTATATCCGATGTTTGCGATATATATCCGGTTTTAACTGCAGGGGTATATAAACTTCGGCTCCGCCCGAAGTTAGCTTTCCTTTCTTGTTTTTATACCCTTGCAGAGGGTATTATAATTTTGTCCAAAAGTGTGCAACGCAGTGAAGGAGACATCTCCGACCCTATAAAGTATATATATTCTTGATCAGGATCACCTCCTGAGTTGATATGAGCATGTCCGTCTGTCCGTCTGTCCGTCTGTCCGTCTGTCTGTTTCTACGCAAACTAGTCTCTCAGTTTTAAAGCTATCGTCTTGAAACTTTGCACACACCCTTCTTTCCTTTGCACGCAGTATATAAGTCGGAACGGCCCGGATCGGCCGACTATATCCTATAGCTGCCATATAACTGATTGATCGGAAATGGTATAACTTTGGTGTTTTTAGAGTTAGAGAGTTCAAATTTGACATGAGAGCTATTTTTGGCAAAATAATACGACATGCCAAATTTCATAAGGATCGGCCGACTATATCCTATAGCTGCCATATAACTCAACGATCGGAAATGACCCAACTTTCGTGTTTTTGAAGATAGAAAGCTGGAATTTAGTACAGACTCTATTTTTGGTTAGTTGATCCAACCTACCAAATTTCATTAGGATCGGCCGACTATATCCTATAGCTGCCATATAACTGAACGATCGGAAATGACCCAACTTTTGTGTTTTTGAAGATAGAAAGCTGGAACTTGGTACAGATTATATTTTGATCCATCCTACCAAATTTCATAAGGATCGGCCAACTATATCCGATGTTTGCGATATATATCCGGTTTTAGCTGCAAGGGTATATAAACTTCGGCTCCGCCCGAAGTTAGCTTTCCTTTCTTGTTAGATTTGTTATTGTAATTAATTGGTTTTATTTTGATGTTATCATAAGGATTGGCCAACTATATTCGATGTCTCCGCCAGAAGTAAGCTTTCCTTTCTTGTTTTTTTAAAAATTTGTAAGTGTCTTTGTTGAATTTGTCTACAGGAATATACCGATTAAAAAAATTTGAAACGTAAATATTCAAAGCTCAAGCGGGGCATAGCGCGACCCACCGAGTTTTGTTTTTCTTCAAATAAAAATTTTGAAATTTTTTTTTTAATTTTAGTTGAAATATTTTTACTAAAGAAATTCTTTTTATAATTTTATTTATATAAGGATCGCCAAACTGTATCCGATATTTGTGATATATATCCGATCAAACTGCAAATTTTTTTTGATATTGTATATTAAACCATATTTTTTGTAATCTATATTGAACCATAAATTCGCACACAGGGAAAAAACATATTTATTGGTGATTATGTTAAATTTCTTGTGTATATATTTTCGGCAATTTCACAATTATATATACTTTGCGAGAATGGAGATACATTGATAAGTCATGTAAGTAATATTAGTCAAATATTTTCAAATTACTAAACAGTTTATCTTGATAAAGTCTTCTTCAACAGCGCAATGCCTCTATAGTTCCAACTGGGAAAACTCAAGTTTTTATTTAAATAAAATCAATTATAATAACTTTCAGAAGCACATAAGGCTAATGATTCTTTGCAGTCAGAAGCCAGTTAAAATTACAGCATTTAAGTTTTCAACTCTATCATTACAAAGTTTTAGTGCGGTATGTATTATTATATCCTTAATGAATATACTTAAGTACTAATTTCATATTTCTTAGATCTTAAGTTCTTCAATATCGTATTTTACTTTGTTAAGGTCGTTGTACAATGATGCCAAAAAATAACTGTCAATGATGGATTTGAAAGATATTAAAATGTTGATTTATTGGACTATTAAATGTATATTATTTTCCCCGTATTTCCTGCACATAATATTTATTTGCCCATAGGAATGCATACTTTTGGGAAGAACTTTCAGTCCCTCAGCTTGTCCCTCAGTCGTGTTCCTTGAGATTTTCTATGCGTGCTGCAGTGCCGTCTCATTAAGAGACAGTCTTTTACCATAAAAAACCTTGAGATGGTTAAGAAAGAGTCAAACGACTCGTCGCTTGATCTGGTATTCAACTGTCTATTTGAAAAATATTTCCCATATGCCGGGTTATTCTGATAATTTCCTTGGAAACAAATGTTTTGGGACAGGCCACTTAATTACAGGTGTTTACCCGGTGTGTTGGTAAATTCTGCGTAGCATCATAAGCTGGTCTATCTTCGGATCATTCAGTTTCATCTTCCTGCAGAATTAATAACTTATAACGTCTTAAAATAACTAATTTCAGACTATTTATTTTGGTATACTTAAAATGTCATTGAAAAATCTCAATGACCAAACATTACCTAAGCTGATAAAAACATAATGCATAAGCAGTATCTTCTGTTCAAAATCGGGTATCTCAGCAATTAAAATATTTGATGGTCTCCATACGAATATAAATATAACAAGAAAGGAAAGCTAACTTCGGGCGGAGCCGAAGTTGATATACCGTTGCAGTTAAAACCGGATATATATCGGATTGGATATATAACCAATTAATTACAATAAAATGTCTAAAAAAAAGTCCCAAGCTTCTATCTTTAAAAATACCAAAGTTGGTATTTCTACCAAATACCATTTCCGATCGTTCAGTTATATGGCAGCTATAAGATATAGTCGACCGATTGTTATGAAATTTGGTAGGTCTACCAATTACAATAAAATGTCTAAAAAAAAGTCCCAAGCTTCTATCTTCAAATATACCAAAGTTGGTATTTCTACCAAATACCATTTCCGATCGTTCAGTTATATAGCAACTATAAGATATATAGTCGACCGATCGTTATGAAATTTGGTAGGTCTACCAAAAATATACTCTGTACTATGTTCCAGCTTTCTATCTTTAAAAACACGAAAGTTGGGTCATTTCCTATCGTTCAGTTATATGGCAGCTATAGGATATAGTCGGCCGATCCTTATGAAATTTGGCATGTCGTATTATTCTGCCAAAAGTATCTCGTGTAAAATTTGAACTCTCTAACTTTAAAAACACTAAAGTTATACCATTTTCGATCACTTAGTTATATGGCAGCTATAGGATATAGTCGGCTGATCCCGGCCGTTCCGACTTATATACTGCGTGCAAAGGAAAGAAGAGCGTGTGCAGAGTTTCAAGTCGATAGCTTTAAAACTGAGAGACTAGTTTGCGTAGAAACAAACAGACAGACGGACAGACAGACGGACATAATCATATCAACTCAGGAGGTGATCCTGATCAAGAATATATATACTTTATAGGGTCGGAGATGTCTCCTTCACTGCGTTGCACACTTTTGGACAAAATTATAATACCCTCTGCAAAGGTATAAAAAATCATTTTGAAATCGGCAATAAGTGGTCGGCACTCAATACATTGATATGATTTTTATGCATTAGTATTAATAAGGAATAGCAGAAAGTTTTCTGGAATACGAAAAGAAAGATATCAAGATCAACGAACTGGGGTATCGCGCGTTATCAAAAACTACTTACGACATCGGAGACAGGGAAACAAGAAAATCCATGATAAGATTCATTGTAAGCGATAGCTTTCGCGTTATGAAAGCCATGATCCGACTCCAAAATAAATATAGAGGTCTGACATAATCTAAGGTGTGTCTAATCTAATCATAATCTAATCTAATCTAATCTCGCCGTCCTCGTCCCCACTTGAAATGCCTAAAAGTTCTTCATCCGACGGGAATGACTCAAATAACTGCTCATATTTAAGCTCTGATAACTTAAAGCGCTTGTAACTTGCTATTTCTTTCAAAATAAGTATTTTCATTTGAAAAAATCCATAGCTGCACGGATAACATGGCACGGATTTTTTCACCTGGCACTGGATTTGCCTTGCAACTGGACTCTCGCAAGTCTACTGATGAGTCTAATGGAAATTTCTATGTGTCCTCGTTGGCTATTTTGCAAGCTATGCGTATTGAATATGCCTCCACATGCACCAGTACCAGGACTTGCACTTTCATCATTACCGCCTTGACGTCAAATTCCCAGTTTGGACTGTAGCTAGTCGTCGTTTTAAAAGTTCTATTCCAAAATATATCGGGAATGAGAACCAAAACCCGGATGATATTCCTCATTTCTTCTGCCAGCGATTTTGATTTAATCATCCTTGTGGAAACGTGGCTGAATGACAAATTTAGTTCTGAGTCTCTGAGTTTAGTATCTGAGTTCTTCGAGCCTAACTTGTACCATGTATTTCGAAAAGACCGAGATGCATTCAGTACCCAGTGTGGGCGAGGTGGTGGTGTGATCATCGCTATCCGTCGATCTCTTCAGGCTACACCACTGCGCCTTCCGGTGGCCGACCCTCTATTGGATCAGCTTGCGGTTTCAATCCAGGGCGTCCATGGCCCGTTCGTCATCATTGCATCATACATCCCTCCGAACAGCGCATTTAGTATATATCATGCGCATATAGAAAACATCTCTAGTGTCTGTGCTAGAACGTCGGACCCTACCGCTTTGATGGTAGCTGGCGATTTTAACCTAAGCTTCATTGTCTGAACTTGGGACCCGGAATCTCCCTGCATGCTACCAAAGATTGTAAAGTACATAGATGGGACATCTCATACAAAGAAAAATTTTCTATGGCGGGTTCCATTGCGCGACAAAATAAGTTTGAGAATTTTTTCGCGCGACAACGAATGAGGTATAGGCGAGTGGTAGAGGGCTTGGCTGGGTTGCAAAGTAAAACGAGTTCAAACCAGGCTCGGGACATCCATTTTTTTTTAATTTTAAATCTATTTCTATTATATTTTTATTCTTTTAATGTGTTTTTTTAAGTTTATAATCCGATAAAAAAAAATACAAAATTGTAAAATAACCTTAACATCGTCTCAGTTCGTAGTGGAACCCGCTGTAAAAATGTCTATAAGTGCGGGTTCTACGGCATTTTGGAAGGCCACGTCGTGGAACCCGCTCTCAAATTTCATTTTTTCCGTCGTGGAGCGGGTTCCACGACAAACGGCTGGCAGATGAGAGAGGGAAAGAGAGAATTCTATTTTTAGATCGTAACATCTTTGGAACAATGAAAGTTTGAAACGTTGTAATTGAACCAATGTGAGAGTAAAGAGATCAGAAATATCTTTTACTATCCTTACTCGTCAGCTCTGTTAGTGGTATGGATTCTAGCGTCTCCTTTAACACCATTTTTAAGTATCATAAAATCAACTTCGAGGGTAGCCTAGATGGGTAGTGCGCGATCCTTATTCATGGGGTCCTGGGTTCTACTATACTATTATAATATTATTTGTTCTACCAACTACCACATCGGCGCATGGAAAACAGAAACGAGAAATTGAAATTGAAATTTGGAAGCCAAAACATTTTTACTCCGTCGTGCATGCAGTCACACATACATACATAGGTTCACATTTTTGTTGACGGATACATGTAAAGAGTTCTAAGTTCTAAGTAAGTTCTTGGTTGCCCTTTTTAATATTATTGATACTTATGACCCTGTGAGGGTACAAAGATCCTATAGGCTTCCCTGGTATACAAAAGGTTTAAAGAACTTAAAGAATAGAAGGGATAAGCATTACAAACGATTTATAATGACAGGGGAGTCTCGAGCAGGAGAGCTGTATTGGCAATTTAAGGGGTAATATACCTTCTTTGACGAAGAAAAAGAGGAAAGTTCGGATTTTTTTTATGTATGTAGCAATTATTTAATTACACGGATGATTTAATTTTTTGATAGTACACTTAATTAACAATGTTTGTGAAAAATTTCGTGGAAAAATATTAAATAGTTTTTAAGGGGTGGCAGTTTCCTTTAGAGGCCTTTTTTTATAGAGCCTTGCGGTGATACTTCCCCAGTTCGAACAGGTCAACTTAAACCATAAAAGTAAAAAAATTAAATTAGTTAAGTGTAATTTTTTTGTGCTTGAACGATCGTTTTTAAGATTTTTTTTATGCATATGGGAACGTTTTATGCTAAAAATAAACTTTTTGGTCTCTAGGAATTTCACTAAAAAATTCATTTTGGCGAATAAAAAGATTGTGCGTGAAAAGTCGATCGTTCAAGCACAGAAAAATTTCATTACGAACATTTGGAAAAAAAATTTGAAGTAAATCGGTTCAGTAGTTTTCCGCCAATCCATATCACCGCAATGTCATTTTTCAAGAAACACCATTTCGAGATATTCGCGTTTAAAGTTTGTTGTTGTAAAGGAGTTGTTCTTTAAGATAAAGCACTAAAAACATTTTCGATTTTTTGAAAATAAAAAAGGTATATAACCCCTTAAGCGGAAATTTGATTTCCTTAATAAGTTTCGCTACAATCAGTATACATCCGATGTCGAAGCTAGCCTTCAATCCATAGCAAATAGCAAAAAGTCAAAATGGGACATACCTTCATCCATATGTTATGGTAATTTAGCAGCCGACTCGGATTAGGGCGTTTCTGATCTTTTTGCAAAATACTTTGCCTCTAATTGGAGCCGAAGGTTCCTTGGAGTGATAATGAAACTCTTCATTATCGCGAACATAAACCGTTACAGTAGGCGGTCTCTTGAAATCTGCACGGGTTATTCCATCAGTAATTATAATTTGGCAGCTTAAGAGGAAGTGTTAGATCTTGCTGTCTTATTGGACAGCACATTTAAATTTTCTGGTCACTTAGACTATATGCTGCCTAAAGCGTATGCTAAGCTGGGCTTTAGGCAGCACGTGAACGTGAACCAATTCAAAAGTCCATACTCGAGCCTCAGCGTCTATGCTGCATTTATTCGGTCGAGGCTGGAATATGCCTCA